CGCATCGGAGCTGATTTCAACTGCCAGTGTGAAGGCGGCGTAAGTCCCATGGCCATCTATCAGAATCCAGAGTTTCAAGAAGATTGGAGAAACTTTTTTTTTCGCACCAAAAAAGAAAAACGAAAGGGGTACCACTGTCGTTTTTTTTTTTTTTTGGGTCGAAATTTTGAGTTGCTCTGATCTTCTTGAAACTCTGGATTCTGATAGAGGGCCATGAGACTTTGACCTGAGTGCAAAAATTGAGGCTCTAGACCCTTCCAGAGCTGAGAGATTGAGATCCCACGTAGGGTTGGGTATCGAGAATCGAGTATCGATTGGAACCGAGACTAACTTTTCGTTTTTCCCGGAATCGTTCAAAAGTTAAAATTTCGATTCCTAGTTTCGATATTCATAGTCCGCCGAGCGGAAGAAGAAACCGCTGAACAACACCAACGAAGAAGCGTCTACCGGAACTGTTGGCATAACCGCGCGAGTCGAACATGAGTACCTTACGTCGGCGATCCAAAGTGTGGCTTCACTTTTCTAGAAATAACGAAATATTGGCAAAATGCTAAATTTATGACAAAAGGAGTATTTTTACAGAAAGGATTATTTCCTTCAGAAGGACCGTTGGTTAGCAAGGTTAGCTAAACTTTTTTGACCCTGCCTCTTAAAATAATTGGAATCGAGAATCGTTAGGAACCGGAATCGAAACAAGGAATCGGAATCGGAATCAGAATCGTTCAAATTCAAACGATACCCAACCCTAATCCCACGTAGCAATTGTGCCATTATAAATAACTCAATATCTCAGCTCTGGACGGGTCTAGAGCCTCAATTTTGCACTCAGGTGTAAGTCCCATGGCCCTCTATCAGAATCCAGAGTTTCAAGAAGATTGGAGAAACTTTTTTTTTCGCACCAAAAAAGAAAAACGAAAGGGGTACCACTGTCGTTTTTTTTTTTTGGGTCGAAATTTTGAGTTGCTCTGATCTTCTTGAAACTCTGGATTCTGATAGAGGGCCATGAGACTTAGACCTGAGTGCAAAAATGGAAGCTCTAGACCCTTCCAGAGCTGAAATATTGAGATCCCTCGTAGCAATTATGCCATTATAAATAACTCAATATCTCAGCTCTGGAAGGGTCTAGAGCTTCCATTTTTGCACTCAGGTCTAAGTCTCATGGCCCTCTATCAGAATCCAGAGTTTCAAGAAGATTAGAGAAACTTTTTTTTTCGCACCAAAAAAAAAACGAAAGGGGTACCACTGTCGGTTTTTTTTTGGGTCGAAATTTTGAGTTGCTCTGATCTTCTTGAAACTCTGGATTCTGATAGAGGGCCATGAGACTTAGACCTGAGTGCAAAAATTGAGGCTCTAGACCCTTCCAGAGCTGAGAGATTGAGATCCCACGTAGGGTTGGGTATCGAGTATCGATTGGAACCGAGACTAACTTTTCGTTTTTCCTGGAATCGTTCAAAAGTTAAAATTTCGATTCCTAGTTTCGATATTCATAGTCCGCCGAGCGGAAGAAGAAACCGCTGAACAACACCAATGAAGAAGCGTCTACCGGAACTGTTGGCATAACCGCGCGAGTCGAACATGAGTACCTTACGTCGGCGATCCAAAGTGTGGCTTCACTTTTCTAGAAATAACGAAATATCGGCAAAATGCTAAATTTATGACAAAAGGAGTATTTTTACAGAAAGGATTATTTCCTTCAGAAGGACCGTTGGTTAGCAAGGTTAGCTTAACTTTTTTGACCCTGCCTCTTAAAATAATCGGAATCGAGAATCGTTAGGAACCGGAATCGAAACAAGGAATCGGAATCAGAATCGTTCAAATTCAAACGATACCCAACCCTAATCCCACGTAGCAATTATGCCATTATAAATAACTCAATATCTCAGCTCTGGAAGGGTCTACAGCCTCAATTTTGCACTCAGGTGTAAGTCCCATGGCCCTCTATCAGAATCCAGAGTTTCAAGAAGATTGGAGAAACTTTTTTTTTCGCACCAAAAAAGAAAAACGAAAGGGGTACCACTGTCGTTTTTTTTTTTTTTTTGGGGTCGAAATTTTGAGTTGCTCTGATCTTCTTGAAACTCTGGATTCTGATAGAGGGCCATGAGACTTAGACCTGAGTGCAAAAATGGAAGCTCTAGACCCTTCCAGAGCTGAAATATTGAGATCCCTCGTAGCAATTATGCCATTATAAATAACTCAATATCTCAGCTCTGGAAGGGTCTAGAGCCTCCATTTTTGCACTCAGGTCAAAGTCTCATGGCCCTCTATCATAATCCAGAGTTTCAAGAAGATTGTAGAAACTTTTTTTTCGCACCAAAAAAAAAACGAAAGGGGTACTACTGTCGTTTTTTTTTTGGGTCGAAATTTTGAGTTGCTCTGATCTTCTTGAAACTCTGGATTCTGATAGAGGGCGATGAGACTTAGACCTGAGTGCAAAAATTGAGGCTCTAGACCCTTCCAGAGCTGAGATATTGAGATCCCACCAGAGTATGTGAGCGGAGTGGAGTGGGAGCGGAGCGAGGAATGGAGCGGCATGATTTTGAATGGAGCGCGGAGCGGATTTTTTAAAAGTCGGAGCGTCGTGGTTTTCACTCGCTCCGAGCGCGCTCCACTACCGCTCTATCACGAGGACAATTCATGCCAACGGCCTATTATAGAACTGCATTTTTAGTAAGGATTCACGTGTTAAACACATTATGCTAGCATGATACAGATGGATCACTCAAATCAGAAAAAAATGTGAGGGTTATGATGACGCCGATGGACATGAGTGGCTGCGGGAGGTTATAGTTATCAAGCCTGAACTGAATATGAGCGGGCACCACGATCTCATGAAAGTGCGAATCTATAGCACACATTTTATTTCTCGTGCCTATTATTATATGCCAAAAAATTGTTTGTGCGTGCAAATGACGCACACTAAACCCCTTGGTTAGGATGGGTGTGAAGTGCGTTCTTGCCATTAAGTGCGTATCGTAGGCTATGCCCACGAGAAATAAAATATAGATAGCCTACGCACTTTCATGAGATGGGGCGCTGGATCGGGCGGGGTGAAAGCACATTTTAAACAGGTAACACTTATTCACCAACGCAATCGCTTTCTCACTAATGCATTGCATTCAAACAAATGTAATCATACAGTCGGCTATCTGTCAGTATTTGATTTTAAATGAGCATGAATCTGTGAGAAATGTAGCGACCCGTAGATAAATAACTGATGGAAACGTAGTTATTTTCTTCTTTCCGAACAAAATGTGCTCTGCAAAAAGCAGCAATGATATTTAATTTATAATGCTGATAACCTGTAATAAGCATAGCATGTCATAGGAAAAGTTTGCACACCATCCAAATCCAATAAACAACATTGCAACTATTCTCCTAACGTTGTTTTTTAAATTTATTTACTATGCCTATGTATCTATTATGATGAGGAGACATTTTGTGAGATTTTAAAGCATACTTAAATACTTTATTCGGAATTTCCTTGGGGAGCGAACACGGAGCGGTGTTTCTGATATCAGTGAGCGAGGAGTGGAGCGGGAGCGGTAAATGGTGAACCCGGAGCGGAGCTGGAGCGGAGTGATTATATAATGCTTGGAGCGTGGAGGGGAAATTGTTGCCGTTCCACTCCGCTCACATACTCTGGATCCCACGTAGCAATTATGCCATTATAAATAACTCAATATCTCAGCTCTGGAAGGGTCTAGAGCCTCCATTTTTGCACTCAGGTCTAAGTCCCATGGTCCTCTATCAGAATCCAGAGTTTCAAGAAGATTGGAGAAACTTTTTTTTTTCGTATCAAAAAAAACCCGAAAGGGGTACCACTGTCGTTTTTTTTGGGGGGGGGTCGAAATTTTGAGTTGCTCTGATCTTCTTGAAACTCTGGATTCTGATAGAGGGCTGTGAGACTTTGACCTGAGTGCAAAAATTGAGGCTCTAGACCCTTCCAGAGCTGAGATATTGAGATCCCATAGCAATTATACCTTAAAATATATGAACGATACGTTTAATTTATCTATCTATAAATATCTTGATACTGATGAAACTTGCTCATTTTGTTGTGGTATTGTTGAAGAAACAGCTGCTCATTTTTTTGTGAATACATTTAGGGTTGATTTAAGTTGTTATATTTTAAAATCTACTAATGTGACCAACAGTGTTATTCTTATAACAATATTTTTTTATTAAGTTTTCCTCTTTTTCTTGATGAATTTACCTTGTTTCATCCCTCAGACATATAACAAAAAAAAATATATATGTATTATGAACTATTATATTTAGACTTGTTATTCTTATTTTTCCTGTTTATAAATATAATTTTATGATGTCATATTATGATGTACACAAACCAATGATCTTTATATTTTCTGTTTTGTCATGATTGTTACATACAACTATGATATCTTTTCATGATCTTGTATGTAATAAGTTTAAATGATATGAGCAGAGCAACAGGTGCACTAACACTTCTTAACATCAGTAACTCGACAGCACAACCTAGAACAGTTTTCCTCTGCGTTTGCAATGCCTACAAAGGAGAAGGGCAGCTACTCGAAGATCTCTTATGGAGAAAAGAATACTGTTGATTTTATATCACTCCTTAAAAAAAAAAATAGTACCTCAGAATGAATTGCATTGTTAGTCCACCCCAAAACTTAAAGAAAATAATAATATTAAATACTGACCAATACTTAATTATACAACGTTTATACACTAAAAATATAATTTAATAAAACAAACAAAATGTAATTTGTTTTGTCATATGACAGTTATGCATGAATACATATATATTGCTAAATGCAGTGAAACATCTCAATTGTCGGTCAATCAATGAATTACTGCATACATTAATGAAATAATTATATTATATATACTGACAGCAATAAGAAACATGAATAAATGAGTGAAAGAACAAATAAAAATAATCATCACAAACAAATGCATATACAAGTCAACAACACATAAAACAAAGCTTTATTCAAACTACAAGCATGTATTTACAGGTGAACACCACATCCTACTGCAAGCGCTTCACAGTCTGAAGCAATAAGGGCAGATGGAGAAATGGAGGGACTCATCCATGGCACCACTTCCAGGATTCAGCTCTGGGCTCCTCATCCTCAGTGCTCACACCAGTCTGCAGACATTTCAGATCCTGCAAAAGTGCACAAACATTACACAAAAGCAGTCATTTTATTTTAATAGCACAATATCATTTGATTTATGTATTAAAAATAACCTTACTTTATATTTGAGTAAAATCCCTAAAACCTTTTTTTCCCCAACAAACGCTGCCATCATCTTTCCTTGCAGGTCCTGCTCCACCACAAAAGCTCTGCAGCAAATGCACAGAAGTGTTGTATTTTCTCCATTTGAAATTACAATCATTCACATAAACTACAACTTAAGATTTAATAGATTTTGTTATCCATTTCTGTAGTACACTCACTCAAATCCTTTGATGACAGCATTCAGCATTATGAGCCTCTCTCCACCGGATAAACACACACGTGTTCTTCTGTCCCTGTAACATACAGACAGATTCACAATACGAGCTCAACACTGCATTTACATGCTGAGGTTGATATGTTAACTCACTTTTTATCCAACTTAAATGTTCCTCAATATATCAACACTAATAAGGGACAAATTAAATATCATGTTTAGTTACTTTATAGATTTGTTTATTTGCCTTATTTATAGCACATTTGTCTAAACAGTGTTGACAACAGTGAATTATCCTACAAAATAGCACAGCACACATGACCTTACACTCAGATGAATTTTTCATGTTGTGATGTGTTCATCTCCAATACTTATACAATATGTTCCTTCCTGATGTAAAAGACATTTTAAATAAAGGTGTACTGTTATGTAAATCCACCTTAGAAACGTAACATTATGTGTACTTACTGGATCTCCCCTGTCTATATAGTAAAATGTGTTATCTCAATATCTCAGCTCTGGACGGGTCTAGAGCCTCAATTTTTGCACTCAGGTCTAAGGCCCATGGCCCTCTATCAGAATCCAGAGTTTCAAGAAGATTGGAGAAACTTTTTTTTTTCGCACCAAAAAAGAAAAACGAAAGGGGTACCACTGTCGTTTTTTTTTTTTGGGTCGAAATTTTGAGTTGCTCTGATCTTCTTGAAACTCTGGATTCTGATAGAGGGCCATGGGACTTTGACCTGAGTGCAAAAATGGAGGCTCTAGACCCTGTGTTTCGTTTTTCGTTTTTTCGTTTCGTTTCGTTTTCGTTTCGTTTTTTTTCGTTTCGTTTTTTTCAAGTGTTTCGTTTTTCGTTTTTTTCATTTTTTTCGTTTTTTTCGTTTCGTTTCGTTTTCGTTTCGTTTTTTTCCGAATCTCAAAATTTTGACCCTAAAAAAAAAACGACAGTGTTTCGTTTTTCGTTTTTTTACGTTTCCCCTTTCGTTTTTTTTTTTTTTCATTTTCGGGCGAAAAAATTAAGTTTCTCCAATCTTCTCAAATCTCTGGATTATGATAGAGGGCTGTGAGACTTTGACCTGAGTGCAAAAATGGAGGCTCTAGACCCTTCCAGAGCTGAGATATCAAAATTCAAAATTTCGACCCGAAAAAAAAAACGACAGTGTTACCCCTTTCGTTTTTTTTTTTTCATTTTCGGGCAAAAAATTAAGTTTCTCCAATCTTCTCAAAACTCTGGATTATGATAGAGGGCTGTGAGACTTTGACCTGAGTGCAAAAATGGAGGCTCTAGACCCTTCCAGAGCTGAGATATCAAAATTTCGACCCGAAAAAAAAACGACAGTGTTACCCCTTTCGTTTTTTTTCATTTTCGGGCGAAAAATTAAGTTTCTCCAATCTTCTCAAAACTCTGGATTATGATAGAGGGCCGTGAGACTTTGACCTGAGTGCAAAAATGGAGGCTCTAGACCCTTCCAGAGCTGAGATATCAAAATTCAAAATTTCGACCCGAAAAAAAAACGACAGTGTTACCCTTTCGTTTTTTTTTTCTTTTTCGGGCGAAAAATTAAGTTTCTCCAATCTTCTCAAAACTCTGGATTATGATAGAGGGCTGTGAGACTTTGACCTGAGTGCAAAAATGGAGGCTCTAGACCCTTCCAGAGCTGAAAGAAAAACGACAGTGTTACCCCTTTCGTTTTTTTTTCATTTTTGGGCGAAAAATTAAGTTTCTCCAATCTTCTCAAAACTCTGGATTATGATAGAGGGCTGTGAGACTTTGACCTGAGTGCAAAAATGGAGGCTCTAGACCCTTCCAGAGCTGAGATATCGAAATTCAAAATTTCGACCCGAAAAAAAAACGACAGTGTTACCCCTTTCGTTTTTTTTTTTTTTTTCGGGCGAAAAATTAAGTTTCTCCAATCTTCTCAAAACTCTGGATTATGATAGAGGGCTGTGAGACTTTGACCTGAGTGCAAAAATGGAGGCTCTAGACCCTTCCAGAGCTGAGATATCGAAATTCAAAATTTCGACCCGAAAAAAAAACGACAGTGTTACCCCTTTCGTTTTTTTTCATTTTCGGGCGAAAAATTAAGTTTCTCCAATCTTCTCAAAACTCTGGATTATGATAGAGGGCTGTGAGACTTTGACCTGAGTGCAAAAATGGAGGCTCTAGACCCTTCCAGAGCTGAGATATCGAAATTCAAAATTTCGACCCGAAAAAAAAACGACAGTGTTACCCCTTACGTTTTTTTTCATTTTTGGGCGAAAAATTAAGTTTCTCCAATCTTCTCAAAACTCTGGATTATGATAGAGGGCTGTGAGACTTTGACCTGAGTGCAAAAATGGAGGCTCTAGACCCTTCCAGAGCTGAGATATCGAAATTCAAAATTTCGACCCGAAAAAAAAACGACAGTGTTACCCCTTACGTTTTTTTCATTTTTGGGCGAAAAATTAAGTTTCTCCAATCTTCTCAAAACTCTGGATTATGATAGAGGGCTGTGAGACTTTGACCTGAGTGCAAAAATGGAGGCTCTAGACCCTTCCAGAGCTGAGATATCGAAATTCAAAATTTCGACCCGAAAAAAAAACGACAGTGTTACCCCTTACGTTTTTTTCATTTTTGGGCGAAAAATTAAGTTTCTCCAATCTTCTCAAAACTCTGGATTATGATAGAGGGCTGTGAGACTTTGACCTGAGTGCAAAAATGGAGGCTCTAGACCCTTCCAGAGCTGAGATATCGAAATTCAAAATTTCGACCCGAAAAAAAAACGACAGTGTTACCCCTTACGTTTTTTTCATTTTTGGGCGAAAAATTAAGTTTCTCCAATCTTCTCAAAACTCTGGATTATGATAGAGGGCTGTGAGACTTTGACCTGAGTGCAAAAATGGAGGCTCTAGACCCTTCCAGAGCTGAGATATCGAAATTCAAAATTTCGACCCGAAAAAAAAACGACAGTGTTACCCCTTACGTTTTTTTCATTTTTGGGCGAAAAATTAAGTTTCTCCAATCTTCTCAAAACTCTGGATTATGATAGAGGGCTGTGAGACTTTGACCTGAGTGCAAAAATGGAGGCTCTAGACCCTTCCAGAGCTGAGATATCGAAATTCAAAATTTCGACCCGAAAAAAAAACGACAGTGTTACCCCTTACGTTTTTTTTCATTTTTGGGCGAAAAATTAAGTTTCTCCAATCTTCTCAAAACTCTGGATTATGATAGAGGGCTGTGAGACTTTGACCTGAGTGCAAAAATGGAGGCTCTAGACCCTTCCAGAGCTGAGATATCGAAATTCAAAATTTCGACCCGAAAAAAAAACGACAGTGTTACCCCTTACGTTTTTTTTCATTTTTGGGCGAAAAATTAAGTTTCTCCAATCTTCTCAAAACTCTGGATTATGATAGAGGGCTGTGAGACTTTGACCTGAGTGCAAAAATGGAGGCTCTAGACCCTTCCAGAGCTGAGATATCGAAATTCAAAATTTCGACCCGAAAAAAAAACGACAGTGTTACCCCTTACGTTTTTTTTCATTTTTGGGCGAAAAATTAAGTTTCTCCAATCTTCTCAAAACTCTGGATTATGATAGAGGGCTGTGAGACTTTGACCTGAGTGCAAAAATGGAGGCTCTAGACCCTTCCAGAGCTGAGATATCGAAATTCAAAATTTCGACCCGAAAAAAAAACGACAGTGTTACCCCTTACGTTTTTTTCATTTTTGGGCGAAAAATTAAGTTTCTCCAATCTTCTCAAAACTCTGGATTATGATAGAGGGCTGTGAGACTTTGACCTGAGTGCAAAAATGGAGGCTCTAGACCCTTCCAGAGCTGAGATATCGAAATTCAAAATTTCGACCCGAAAAAAAAACGACAGTGTTACCCCTTACGTTTTTTTCATTTTTGGGCGAAAAATTAAGTTTCTCCAATCTTCTCAAAACTCTGGATTATGATAGAGGGCTGTGAGACTTTGACCTGAGTGCAAAAATGGAGGCTCTAGACCCTTCCAGAGCTGAGATATCGAAATTCAAAATTTCGACCCGAAAAAAAAACGACAGTGTTACCCCTTTCGTTTTTTTTCATTTTTGGGCGAAAAATTAAGTTTCTCCAATCTTCTCAAAACTCTGGATTATGATAGAGGGCTGTGAGACTTTGACCTGAGTGCAAAAATGGAGGCTCTAGACCCTTCCAGAGCTGAGATATCGAAATTCAAAATTTCGACCCGAAAAAAAAACGACAGTGTTACCCCTTACGTTTTTTTCATTTTTGGGCGAAAAATTAAGTTTCTCCAATCTTCTCAAAACTCTGGATTATGATAGAGGGCTGTGAGACTTTGACCTGAGTGCAAAAATGGAGGCTCTAGACCCTTCCAGAGCTGAGATATCGAAATTCAAAATTTCGACCCGAAAAAAAAACGACAGTGTTACCCCTTTCGTTTTTTTTCATTTTTGGGCGAAAAATTAAGTTTCTCCAATCTTCTCAAAACTCTGGATTATGATAGAGGGCTGTGAGACTTTGACCTGAGTGCAAAAATGGAGGCTCTAGACCCTTCCAGAGCTGAGATATCGAAATTCAAAATTTCGACCCGAAAAAAAAACGACAGTGTTACCCCTTACGTTTTTTTTCATTTTTGGGCGAAAAATTAAGTTTCTCCAATCTTCTCAAAACTCTGGATTATGATAGAGGGCTGTGAGACTTTGACCTGAGTGCAAAAATGGAGGCTCTAGACCCTTCCAGAGCTGAGATATCGAAATTCAAAATTTCGACCCGAAAAAAAAACGACAGTGTTACCCCTTACGTTTTTTTCATTTTTGGGCGAAAAATTAAGTTTCTCCAATCTTCTCAAAACTCTGGATTATGATAGAGGGCTGTGAGACTTTGACCTGAGTGCAAAAATGGAGGCTCTAGACCCTTCCAGAGCTGAGATATCGAAATTCAAAATTTCGACCCGAAAAAAAAACGACAGTGTTACCCCTTACGTTTTTTTTCATTTTTGGGCGAAAAATTAAGTTTCTCCAATCTTCTCAAAACTCTGGATTATGATAGAGGGCTGTGAGACTTTG